CAAAATTATCAAAATTCCCTAATTCTCAAACCTCCAATGCCTTACATAATTCTCACCATTCTCAAACCTCCAAAGCGCTACATAATTCTCATAGTTCTCAAAATTCTCATAACTTTCGAAACTCCAACGCGTTACATAATTCTCATAATTGTCAAAACTGCAAATGGCTGCATAATTCTAGAAAAAATTATAATTCTCAAAATTCTCATAATTCTCAGACCTCCAATGCGTTGCATTATTCTCATGATTCTCAAAATTCTATAATTCTCAAACCTCCAATGCGGTACATAATTCCCATAATTCTCGAAACTGCAATGGGCTACATAATTTTCCAAATTCCGATAATTCTAAAAACTCTCGTAATTCTCAAACCTTTAAGGCGTTACATAATTCCCATAATTCTCAAAAGTCCAATGCGCTACATAAGTCCCATACTTCGCAAAATTATCATAATTCTCAAAACTCCAATGCACTACATAATTCTCAAAACTCGAGAGTGCTGCATAATTCTTATAATTCTCAAAACTGCCATGCGGTGCATAAAGTCCAATGCGCTACATAAGTCCCATACTTCGCAAAATTATCATAATTCTCAAAACTCCAATGCACTACATAATTCTCAAAACTTCAGAGCGTTGCATAATTCCCATAATTCTCAAAACTCCAATGCGTTACATAAGTCCCATACTTCGCAAAATTATCATAATTCTCAAAACTCCAATGCACTACATAATTCTCAAAACTCGAGAGTGCTGCATAATTCGTATAATTCTCAAAACTGCCATGCGGTACATAATTCTGATACTTCTCAAAATTCTCATCATTCTCAAAGCTCCATTGCGTTACATAATTCTCAAAATTATCAAAACTCCAATGCGTTGCATTATTCTCATGATTCTCAAAATTCTATAATTCTCAAACCTTTACGGCGTTACATAATTCTCATAATTCTCGAAACTCCAATGCGTTAGGTAATTCTCAAAATTCGCAAAACTGCGAAGTGCTACATAATTCTAATACTTCTCGAAATTATCAAAATTATCAAAACTCCAATGCGTTGCATTATTCTCATAATTCTCAAAACTCCAAAACGCTACATAATTCTCATAATTCCAGAAACTCCAGGGCGCTACATAATTCCCATAATTCTCAAACCTGCAATGCCTTACATAATTCTCGTAATTCTCAAAACTCCAATGCGTTGCATTATTCTCATAATTCTCAAAACTCCAAAACGCTACATAATTCTCATAATTCCCGAAACTCCGAAGCGCTACATAATTCCCGTAATTCTCATAAGTCTAAAACGCTACATAATTCTCATACTTCTCAAAATTCTCATAACTTTCGAAACTCCAACGCGTTACATAATTCTCATAATTGTCAAAACTGCAAATGGCTGCATAATTCTAGAAAAAATTATAATTCTCAAAATTCTCATAATTCTCAGAACTCCAATGGGTTAGGTAATTCTCAAAATTCGCAAAACTGCGAAGCGGTACATAATTCTAATGCTTCTCAAAATTCTCAAAACTCCAATACGTTGCATAATTCTCATAATTCTCAAAACTCAAATGCGTTACATAATTCTCATACTGCTCAAAGTTCTTATAATTCCCGAAACTCCAATGCTTTACATAATTCTCACAATTCTCATAATTGTCAAAACTCCAATGCGCTACACAATTCTCTTTACATTCTTCAGTTTTCTACTCGTAACATGTTTTTAAACTCGTACGAGTTCAAAACAGCCTCCCCAGCCTCCCCTATACTATATTAGAAAATAACACAGTTTCAACTCGTAACATCTTTTTAAACTCGTACGAGTTCAACACAGCCTCCCCATCCTCGCCTATACTATATTAGAATATAACACAGTTTTCAACTCGTGTTAGAATATAGCACTCATTTGGACTCGTAACGAGTTCAAAACAGCTTCTCACTGTAATAAAAGACATTAGTATTTTTCATCTCGTAAGGAGTTTAAAGACTGCGACCCGTGAATATTTCACTTCAATATATGGATAATATTTGTGGAATACATTCGCAACAGCTAATTCAAAATCAATTGTGACACGACGTAATCGTATTGGTAAATTCATTTGGCTCATGTGTTGAAATATTTTTTCAAACATACCAGTATATAATGTTTCGGATTTGCCAGGTAATAAACAATATACGTAAGGTGCCATAATACCATCATCATTATACCCGTGGATAGAATAAATCTGATAAAATATTGATGGGCGAACGTAAAATGTTCCGTCACAGTACCACATTTCACTCTGAGATAAGTATAACATATCAGTTGGCGTCGAAAATATAATACATCGTGAACCATCTATTAAACCATCATAAAGTACAAATTGTTCGCCATTTAAACTCTTTTGGTAGTTAATTGGAATTGGATGTGGTAACTCGGTAATATTCTTGGGAA